TTGGCGATACCCGAGCGTAAACCATTCGCAAGATTCAGCAGGCTTTCGGGGACGATCCTCGAGGCCAAAAAAGGAGCGACAGGTCCACAGCAATATCAAAAGGTCATGTTGACAGTTTTTTCAACTCTCGTGGGGTGGCGTGTCGTGAGTACACACCACAAGGCCAAACCATCGCAAAGGAGTACTACCAGGAGGTCCTTCGTCATCTTTGTGATGCTGTGCGATGCAAACGACCGGATCTGTGGTCGATCAAAACTTGGCAGCTCCATTGTGATAACGCATCCGCCCATTCTGCGCATCTGATTCGGGCTTTCGTCACCAAACACAATACTCCTGTGGTTCGTCACGCTCCGTACTCTCCCCACATGGCTTCGTGTGACCTTTGGCTATTTCCCAAGCTGAAAATGCCACTAAAAGGAACCCGAATTTAGTCTAGAGAAGACATCGTGCGAAATCCGACGGACCAGCTGATGGCCATTCCAGAGAATGCGTTCCAGCAGTGTTTCCAGCAATGGCAGGAACGCTGGGAGAAGTGTATACATTACCAAGGAGACTACTTTGAAGGGGATTAGGGTTTCGTACCTCAAAATCAAAAAATTTATTTTTGCCGACCAAAGGTCCGATACTTTTTGAACAGACCTTGTACATTAATAGCCAATGTATCATTTTCTTTACAAACTGGGTATATTTTAGCTCTCCAAAATAAATGAGCATTCAGTAGAAAGAATAGCTATTAAAGATGCAACGGATTTAATCGTTTCATTAATTATTAATGTAGTAATCTGTCTGGATCAAAAATGCCATCGTCAAAATAATGAGCATTTGGTTCGTGCTTTTGGAATACCGAGATGTCGGTTACATTTAATAAGAAACTTATTTTTTTTTATACATCTTCACCTACAAAAAATAAATAAGAAGACATTTTGTTATTTAGGCATATTGATTTAACTGGTTTAATTTTATATTTTCTATTTAATATCTGCTTAAAGCCTTGTAGTAATTAAGAATTCCAAAAACGATTACTCGTATAACTTAGCTGGAGAAAAAATTTACAATTTACTTTTTATACAATTAAAATTGTAATTATTGCATTGTACTAATTATTATTATGAAAACTAATTTATTAATGATATTCGAATTTTGCAGGTTTACAGTGTGATGTAGCTATTAATGAATGTGCTCGTAAACCGTGTCCAGTACATAGAATGTGTGTACCGGATTCTTCTCCTCTGGGTTACAGCTGTGATTGTCCTCCAGAAAAAAGTGGTCCTTTATGCGATTGGGAAAAAGAAATATTGTGTGAAGAATCAAGCTGCTATGAAGGTAACATTTAAATTTTAAAATATTATTCAATAGGAACTATACTTTCCAACAAGCAAATATGAGTAGAAAGAATAGCTATTAAAGATGCAACAGATATAATCATCTCGTTAATTGGTAAGTACTGGCACTTACCAGTAACACCGGTTACAATTTTCAAACATGCCATAGGAAGGTAGAAGTTAGAAGTGATTGCACTACTTGTCTGACATAAACTTCTTAATTTTCAATGTACCAATGTACTTGATTTTATAATTTGTAAAACTCAAATTTCATGAAATTGTGCAAGTTTGTTTTTGCATTATCATTCTTCAATATTTATTATTTTACTAGCTGCAAGGACCCGCTTCGCTGAGTTTTTACCCGCTAGGGTTACATTTGTATGTAATATAGTTTTTTTATATATATATATATAAAAGACTGTTTTTCTAAGTAATCTAGAATCTAGCTGCAAGGACCCGCTTCGCTGGGCAAAAAGTAACGATAGTGAAGATTAAGATAATTACATTATAGCTNATTACATTATAGCCAATCTTACCCATTTTCACAGAATGCAAGAATTAGGTCCCCTGTTTCCTGACTAATTAGAGAATTTTTACACGAGTCTAAAAATATGTTCGATTTCCCGCAAAAATGCAAAATCACAAATCTCCACCACAACGAACAAAGAGAAACATTCACCATACACAACTACCTGGGGACGACACACTCCCATAAGTTCAACACCAGGAACCAAAATGCCGAGTTTTTTCTTTCTTTATTTCTTTCTTATCTTATTAATATGTAGACTCTAGCTTGTTGGCTTTTTCTCCGAATCACTCTGCTTAGAAATTAGGCAAAGCAGTTGATGCGGTGAACAAAATGCTCCAAGATTTTGATATGTTGGCGAAGTGGAAGGTCAGTATGAGGCCAGTATATCGGAGTTAAGGTATGGACGATCGTGAGGTCCAAGGTTAAGAGACGACCTGGTTTCCAGTCCTGCACACCATATATCACCCTCACCACCGACACAGTGCTGCCATACAAAAAGACGCCCAAAACACAAAAAAAAAATATTTCTCCCTTTTTTCTTTTTTTTAAATTATAAATAAAACTGCACGTACAGTAATGGAGATGATTATTTACAATACTAACATTGACGGTAGACAATATTTTGCTTCTGTTTTATCTTTTAGTGTATATATATATACACTAAAAGATAAAACAGAAGCAAAAGAAAACAATTTTTTTTATAAGACGACAACAGAGACTGACAATATATACAAGGACGACACAGTATAAATAAAATCATTAAGGATGCCAGACAGATTTTTATAGATGATGTTTTTCTTATATTGTATTTGGCTTGTGAAATACAGATATTTCTATAGCATCAATAAGCACCGTGCACTGTAGCTATCTCCTTAAAACCAATAAAGAAATAGCCAATTGTGACGATGCTATTAAAATACATTCTCTAATTCACAACCAGTTGATAATGCCAGTTTTTTGTGACATGTTAAAATATGCATGGTTTGCATCTCAAATAATACATGAAAGAAATATTTTCAAAAACATTAATGAAGTTTGTTTTCCACCCTCTGTTATTAAAACAAAATGTAAAGATTGTGCGAATGAAGTAGCAATGATTATTTGTGCATGGTACACCGAGCCATTATGTTTTAATTGTTTTTATGATAAATACCATTCAAAATTTGTCATATTCTTGTGATACAGTAATTGTAAGTATTTATTGCATGTATATTTTAGACAAGACTATATCTTGTTTATAAAATCGTACTGCCTGATGTACTTATCAGTATAGAGGTATGAAGGAGTACATGTCGAGAGTTGATATTTGGCACAGAGTATTCGGTGCCCAAATCATGTGCGCATTAAAAAATCCAGACTCATAAGTAGTCAGGGGACCGAAAATTGAGTCAAAATAAAATACAAAATGGCGACCCTCTTTTACAAACAGGCAAAACAGCCACATCACCCCACCGAATTCAAGTAGGGGAGAGTACCACCCACAGTCATTCTAAGAAGTGAACTCTGACTTTAGGACTGAATACGTAGTTTTTTTTATGTTAAATAAAATTTGTAATCTAATTTTGTAAATTTGTGAGTGCTTCAAATATGACGTTAAAATGGTTTTATGTCATTACAAGTGGGGTTTTTTTAACATTATCTAGTATAGTAAAATCATAGGACCAATAAAAATTTGACGTTATATTAGGGTTGTCGTTACATTCAATGACATTATAATCGGGTTAAACTGTATATTGTTTGTGCAAAATAAAAAAATAATTTCGGATGATACAATAGCCACAATTATTTCTTTCAAAAACAGGAAATTTTCGTTACACATCAACAAAAATTCAACCTGGGTCAACACGCAACGGAGAGAAGTTTTGAAATTAAATAGGTTAATTTCATCGAAGATGCATCGTGAATGATCTTGTGGTTGTGGCTGGCGAACTTTGAATGATCGTGCCCAAAAGCAGCAATATCAAAGAAGATAGGAGAATGAGAACGAGATCTTCCTTGAGCATCAAAGTGATTTTGTCTCCAAGACATAGTCTTGTCCCAAATATGGTTTTGCCATTTTACTTGTTTATGTTGAAAACTTTTTGAAAAATAATTTTTGAATTCCCTGATATTCTGTAAAGAATAATAAATTTAAAATTCAATAATTTAAAATAAAAATAAACCTTTAAATATCCAGCAATAAAAATGTTTAATAAAAACGTTTTCAACTGTTTTAAACGGCCATCTTCAGTTGAAAAAGAACACTAAAAAGAACGCATGAAATACGAATTAAATAGAAACCAAAGTGCGCATGCACAACTTAATGGACTTGCGTCGTCTGAAAGTCTATAAATAACTTGCAAGTAACATAAAAATAATAAAGCCGCCTTTCAGACGACGCAAGTCCGATAAGTTGCGCATGCGCACTTCGGTTTCTATTTAATTCGTATTTCATGCGTTCTTTTTAGTGTTCTTTTTCAAGATGGCCATTTAAAACGGTTGAAAACGTTTTTATTAAACATTTTTATTGCTGGATATTTAACGGTTTATTTTTATTTTAAATTATTCATTCCAGTATAAGTTCTTGTTAAATTCAATAATTAAAATTAGTATAAAAATTGTAGATAACAAATCTAATAACAATAAGATTAAATTATAAATGTAAAATAAACAAACCTGCATATTAACACTTTTCAAGCAATTCCTTAATTAACTAATCACACCACACCATGAAGATGTAAATGGTACTTCTGCATAGGTATTAATAGTTCTAGAAAAAATTTAATTGTAACTTTCTTGATTTTGCCTGACTAATGGATTCTGCGGCATTGGTAGAGTTTAAATACAGTAAGACCCTGCTTAATGCTGATTCAATATAATGCGGTCTGCTCATTATGCCAATTTAAATTGTCACAGCATTTCATTGATTCGTATATAATACGATTATTTGTGAACACAAACCAATCAGCAAAAGGTGCAAAAAGGTGTACTTTTTTTAAATCTATGTTTATTTGGTGCAATTTTGGAAAAAATATAACATCATGGATGCCATAGGAAATATTGACTTTGCTTGGCAAGAATTAACTGATAAATGCACGAACAAAGTGTGGAAGAGAAGTTATCGCTGAAGGTATCCAAGAATTCTCAATGAGAAGAGCCTATTGCTGTATTGTTAGGTTGAGCAAACTCAACCTAATTGATACAGCAGGACTAGGAGACATAGACAAACAGGATATTCAGGAGTTACAGCAGGTTTCTGATGAGAGCCTTACCAACGACAACCTTCGAGAACTGGCAGAACATGGAATTTGTGTGGAACTGGAAAATAGAAATTCTGAAAACGAAGAACCCAAAAATTTCTCTACAGATTTCCTTAGTGCAAATTTTAGTAACGATAACCGATATCTTCGATCAAATTGTAGTGAATGATCCAGATTTTGAAAGGAGTTCAAAAACAAAATGAGGTATTTTGGATGCAATCTTCCGCTACTGACATTTGCTTAAGGAAAGAAAAAAGCAACAAATGAAACTTTACAACTATTGCAAAAGAACAAGAATTTCAGAAAAGTCAGGACCTTCATCACAAAAAATGAACTTTACATTTCTGTGTGCATATGTTTGTGTGTTATTTACTATATATTATTATACAAATTAATATAAAAATAACTTAAAGTAAAATCTGTTTATTTTTGGTCACGTGTTTCCCTATTCCTATTTACTCTATGTTAAAATGAGATCGTTTAATGCTGTTTTGCTTAGCGCTTTGTTGTCTAGGAATGCACCCCCGTGTTATGTAGGGTCTTACTGTACTATTAAATACTACACATGCACAAAATTTTGTCAAAATTGGTGATTAGAACCTTCTGGGTACCCCTTGTTTAAGAAGGCTTTTTTAGAAAGCCCATTATGGGTTGAACCAAGCCCACAATGGGGCGGTGATGGCTGGAGCTTGGCATATCCAGAACGGATTGGCTGTGGAAAATATCTGGAGTTTTTAGATTTGTCCATTGCTATTTCAAGTTGTTCAGAGCAATAGGTTGCCACCTTAGCCTCTCTGTTCTCCCAATGGTATCAAAAAGTCAAACTAAATTTGCTTAATTTAAGTTCAAGCAGTCCATAATATTTTACAAGTACGAGAGGTATAGGGTAAATGAGGGTTAGATGGTGAAAAAATTCTGGAAGCTATGATTGTGAAAATAAATTTTATTTTAAAAATTGACTAAAATGTTGTTTTCTTATCATACCAAACAACACAATAATGAGCAAAATAATAGTGTATTACGAAAAACAGATTTGAAAAAATAAAATATGATTTTCTGCTAAATCACCATCTCACCCTTAGAGCTGCAGATTGGTTGGTAAACAGTATATTGATGATCTCTCTACCACAGTCTACTCTGGTGTTTTCCATCAATTATAGGTTAGACTCATTATTGAAGCTTCTAAAGTATTATGTACAAGAAACAAAAGTTGTCTGCTAATCTTTACTGAAGATATTGGAGGCTATTTAAACATATGTAAAACATTCTGCAAGTCAGAAGCAAAAACATTCAGTTTTTCCACTTATTCTTACAGTAATTGTACGTAAACAGTACATATAGCAAGCATGGCTTTCAACTAACACAATATAGTAATATGTTGTGCTACATTTTTAGTTTATTCAGTAATTACATGTGTTTACCATCCCACTTTCATTAACCCTGTAATTAGTGGTCCTGCACGTAATACTGTATTACATGACCTAGTTGATCCAGTAAGACATAGGGAAAAAGCATGCCAGATTGCTGGAAAATGGAAATCAAAACATGTAGATGCATTTTCAATTTAATAATAATCACTTCATGCTGACTTTATTAATATCATAAATCACTTATGTGTTGTGATGTTACCACAGTGAATTGTTAAAATATCGAAATAGAAAACTGTTGTTTATTTAATAGTTTAAAACTCACTGTGTTTAGCGTTATTAATCTAAAACTGTTGTATTTATTTTCACCTGAAGATGGTAACTGTATGTTACCAAAAGTGCTTGTGAGCTTATTTATATTTTAACAATTCACTGTAGTAATGCCACAACATGTAAGCGAATTTTCAATTAGTCTGTTTCCACACTGTTGCTTCCCATTTGGATAAATGAGTTTTGTTTCTGTCGTTTGCATTATTTATCAGTGGCCTAGTTGATTACAGGTTCATGTCTGACCAATGGGCTGTCCATGTGGAATTTTCTGGGTTTACTTCACAGTTGTAACACCTAAATAGGGGCCAGTTTCCCTTAGAAAATTTTCCTGACAAGCAAACTCTTTCGGCAGATGGTTATGTTGCGTTGCCGTATACAAATAAACCAAACCAATCACATGAATGTGGGCTGTTTACCATTATGTTACTGTCTGCATACGTACAAATAAACCAGTCCTACAAAGTATTTTTGAATACTTTGGTTATCGATTATTAATATCTTATTAATATTGAAAGATGGTTTTGTAAGATTATTAGATTATAATAGTGTATGTATATGAAAATATGTATGTACTGTACATATTTTCATAATTTTAGTTTGTATTGTACTAGAGTTTGTTCAATACATCACACAACTTTTGGTAAATTACACTCCATTACATGATATGCTGAAAATTTTAGCCATTCACGGAGTCACCATTGGCAATACCAAGTACAATGGATGAGATTGATTGGCTTCAATTGTTGCACCCACATATCTTGTAGGGAAACGTTTGCTTTTTCCAAATGGCCATGTGCACAGAATTCACATATAAATTACTTTGAGGAGACTGACAATTATGCAGCCAGAATATCTGTTAGCTTTTCCTCTGTCGTATCTGTTGCACAACCAGTTCTTGGAACATCTGCTACACACCCCATCCCTTCATGATTCCTAGAGTCGTCGATACTTGATTCATGCAGATCTGTTGTTTTCCGAAAGTTCTGTGTAAATATTTCTAATGTATCCATAGAATGCACGTCTCTAATGTGAGGCTTGCCTTGTAAACACTAATCTCTCACCAGTAAGGAAAACAAAGACAAAGTCTGATACAGTTGTCTTTTCCCATCGGTTGTGTGACTTATTGTAGTGGTTAGCTGGTTTATGAAAAAACTTTATATTTGTACAATTAAAAAATGTAATTTTACAGTCAGTGCATAAAATTTCGTACAATTTTCTTGACGATATAATCTATAGATGTCAATTGAATATTTTTACAGAAAAGAAACCAATTTCATTTGGAGGCAAGAGTTACGCATGCTACATTTTGGCAGCATCGATCGATCGTCACCTTAGTGTAGTATTACGAATAAGAACCAAACAATCGACTGGAAATTTGATGTTTGCTGCAGGAGTACAAGATTATAGCATCTTAGAGGTATGAAATTTATTTGGTTAATAAAGAATGAAAAACTATTATAAAAATAGAGTACTGCAAATCCTCAAAATGAGAACTAGAATCCTTAATATGCAAATCCTCCTTAATAAGAACTAGAAGTGTTCTTATTAAGAACAGAATAACCACACTTTTGTAACTTTCAGTACACAATATTAATTTTATAATTACACAAAAAGTGCTCTTAACTAAATTTATGAAGTAAATCCATAAAATTTTGTATATAGGTGGTATTGTTCCAATTATAATGTAAAATAACTTGCATATATACTCTATGTCAGTTTAAATTATCTTCCTAAATTTCCCATTTAACGATTTTCAATGTAAATAAATAATCTAAATTTATTGTTATTTTTTAATATACAAAATTTTAAAAATGATAGAACTGAAATTTCACGTTTCATTGTGAACAGTGTCAACGTTAAATATAAAATAAACATACAATGTTTTACAATGCAAACATTTATTTATCGATTATGAAACTTTTAAAGTCTATATAAGTAAACTGCATTGTAACATGTTTTGTTACAAAAGTTATGTTTGAAGTTTAGATTTTGGAAAATGATGATTTGAATATTCCATTTTGATGATATGAAACCATGCTTTACAATTTGTTTATTCTTCTAACACAATAAAATGCTATAAATTAGACACTTGGTGGGTTTTCTCATCTTTATTTAGTTGATCCTTTTTATATGCGCTGTTCTGGTGTAGTTCTACCTTCATCTTCTTTAAATTTGATGATGTCCGCCGTTTCAATATTCTAAATTCTTATTTTGATGATATGAAACCGTGCTTTACAATTTGTTTAAACAGCGCATATAAAAAGGATCAACTAAATAAAGATGAGAAAACCCGCCAAGTGTCTTAATTTATAGCACTTTATTGTGTTAGAAGAATAAACAAATTGTAAAGCACGGTTTCATATCATCAAAATAAGAATTTAGAATATTGAAACGGCGGACATCATCAAATTTAAAGAAGATGAAGGTAGAACTACACCAGAACAGCGCATATAAAAAGGATCAACTAAATAAAGATGAGAAAACCCGCCAAGTGTCTTAATTTATAGCACTTTATTGTGTTAGAAGAATAAATAAATTGAATATTCCAATTAGTTTTCACAAAAAAATATATATTGTACACACAACTTATAAACCAAAATAATACAAAGAGTACACCAGTGTATAACTTCATTTTGTAATTTATTTAAACAGTTTTGAAGCTCTCTGATTGAGCTTATAATAATTATGTTTAAGAGTACATTTTTTAAGAACTGCCATAGCTTGCCTATATTGTTTTAGATAATCTAATTCTAATACATAATATAAACCAATAAACAATGAACGCATATGATAATTTAAAATTAATTTGTTTTAGTAAAATATCTGTAGAATTGCAACAGATAACTTTATCTTGAATGAGTGTAGTTAGTTAAAATCAATGCATATGGAGCCTCTCCAACACTATTCTGTATTTCTGTGTTAAAATCTTCTTTGTTTAAAAAAAAATGTAAATTTTGAGTTTATATATGATTTTAAGGAAAATTATGACATTTCACCATTAATTGTTGTTGCTAAGTTATACAATAATGGAAACAAAAATACCCAAACAAGTCTAAGAATATATTTGGACTTCACTTCTTTAGTCTGGAACACAAATTTTTTGAAAAGTTGAAATAATTCATGCTCTTCCTACAAAACAAAATTATAATTCAAAACGAAACAAAACAAAATGAACATTTCACTAAATTTCCATTAAAAATGAATGTCGTAGTCATCCTTTTCTTGTTGGAAAGGATGACTACTTTGAGGGGATTGACAATTATGCAGCCAGAATATCTGTTAGCTTTTTTTTGTAGTCATCCTTTTCTTGTTGGAAAGGATGACTATGACGTTTTTAATTAATGTTTTTTTAGTATCATGATCTCTTTTTTTTTAGAATTATCTTCAGCTCATGAAGAATCTTTTCAATAAAATATTTCTTGAAAAATAAAAGGAAGATCTATTTAAGATTTCTCTTTATAAAATACTAGCAGACCCCGCCATGCCTTGTTGTGGCTCAAAATGTATCTATTATAAATGTATAACACTTCCCTTGTGGGGGGAGTTTTTCGAAAAATTTCTTTTTAGTGTACATTCTGTTGACGTACCCTATTAAAACGCAATCAAAAACGCAAAAACCCGCATCTAAAATAGTATAATAGAAGCCAAGTTCTTCACAGTAAGCCTTAATCCTGTCCCTCTCTCCTGCAGGGGGAATATCGAAAAATCTCTTCTTAGTGTACATTCTGTTGACATACCCTATTAAAACGCAATCAAAAACGCAAAAAACTGCATCTAAAATAGTATAAATAGAAGCAGAGTTCTTTATGGTAAGCCTTTCCCGTAAGGCTTACCGTAAAGAACTGTCCATCTCCCATGTTTAACAGAATAATATACAGCCTATGTCTACTCTGACGTTCCTATTGGTGAAAAAATTTTTGAAATCGGATGAGTAGTTTCGGAGATTACCTGCTGCATATAAACTTACATACATACTTACAAACATTACCTCTTTATAATATTAATATAGATTTGCCACTACATATGAAAGATTGGAAAAATGTTAATTTATGTTGTAAATGAATAATTATTTAAAAAGATTCTTGTATTCTTGTGGTAAGATTGACTGTCTTGTCTTGATAGTCAGGTTCAATGACTGGAATGTCTATCTAGCTCAGGACCCTGGCTATTGCATCAAGGCTGGTATTATCATCAGGAACAAAAACATTACCTCCTGCCTTGTCTCCCAACACCTCACAGAATACATTACCACTGTCTGTGTTACAGACAATAACAATCACCTTTACATATGTTCCGTCCACATTCCAGACTCCACTAACATTGAGACAGCCATATCATGTAGAAGTCATTCATTACTTTCTGAACTCATACAAAGATAAACCTTTCCTAATAGGAGGTGACTTCAATGCCAAGTCTGTGACCGGCGTAGTCCAAAAGATGACTCTAGTGGTAATGTAGTTATTGAAACCATGGCCTAACACAACCTTACTCACTTGAACACCAGCACCCTTCCAACCTACTCCTGTACCATGGGGGAAAGTTGGATTGACCTAGCATTAGGAAACAGTCACATCATCCCTAAGGTCAGCTATTGTTACACTACCAACATAGATTCTGCCAGTGACCATAGGTATATCTTCACTCAACTGAACACCACTAGTAATACTAATAATCATAGTTTTTATTATACTCGCACTAACTGGCAATTATTCCACGACACCTTCAATAACATTTGGGCTGCTACCCCTCGCCACAATCACTATACTCGGGACACCTTAGACTATCTTGTCACCAGGCTTACAAGTACAATCACTAACTCTTACATTATTGCCTCAGAGCTCAAACATTGTAAACACCAAAAGGTTTCTTAGTGGACCACTGAGCTAGAAAACAAGAAAAAAGTTGTTAGAAGATTAAGGAGGCAATTTAGGAATGAACAGGACCCAGAAATTAAAGTCACACTTAGAGACTAGTACAGGAACGAACACAATGCTTACAAAACTCTTATAAATAAAACAAGGACTAATACTTGGAAGGACTTCTGTACCAACACTTGCGGTCACAACCCCTGGTCTGAACCTGATCTGGTACTACTTAGCTTGTAAGGAAACATGTCAGTTCTTAACCCTCTCCACTAGCCTGCTCCCTGATGGTCACTATACCAACAACACATAAGAAACTCTCATGCACATCCTCACCAGCCTTTACTCTTCGGATGACCCACAGCAGGATGACAATACACAAGCGGTCATCTGGACAATACACTCACTCCACCTAATACAGACAATGACCACAACTTCACTTACATCGAGGTTTCGAATGCCATCTATTTGCTCACTGATAACAAAGCCACAAGTCTTGATGGCATAACCACTAGGATGATAAAACACACATTTGAGGCCAATCCTACAGCATTTGTAATTCTTTTCAATATCTGCTTGAACATTGGCCTTTTTCCTACTTAGTGGAAAAAGGCTAGTGTCAAATTGATTCCCAAACCCACCAGCACTAACACTTACAAAAAAATACAGGCCGATCTGACTTCTCCTAACTCTGGGAAAGTGTTAGACAGTCTAATAATTAATAGGATCACATGGCATCTACGCAAACATACAGCCCTGCATCAGAATCAGTTTTGCTTCTCTAAAAACAAAGGTACAGTAGATGCCATCTGCCATCCATCAGGTCGTTAACTACATCCACCAGGATAAACAAAACAACCAACATACTGCAATTATCACTATTGACTTTAGAGGCGCCTTTGATTACACCTGGTGCCTTTTATCCTGCACACATTACATGCTCATCACTGCCCTAAAAATATTTACAAACTTCTTCAGTCTTATCTTTGCGACAGGAGTGCAGGTGTTTATACAACACAAAATAACATAGTCATACCTATGATAGGTATGACTATGTTATTTTGTTCCAGAGACCAGATACGTATGCTATGTTTTAGAGACCAGGTCTGGTCTTGGTCTCTGGAACATAGCCTATTACTCTATTCTGCACTGAAACGACACCCTGCCTCCTGAGTGCCGCATACAGGGCAATGCGGACGACACAATTATCCTAGCTTCACACAGGAACAGTGAACGCTTACAAGACGTATGCAACGACATTCTCAATAACATTCACAGTATTAAGCATAGGCAACCCATTGACACAGACAAATGCAAAAGCATGATTGTTGATAGGAACGCGCCACTCATCAGGAAGCTTTCTCTTTGAATAGGTGCTCACAGAATAAAGCAAACAACGGAAATTAAATATTTAAGTGTTATTCTTGATGAGAGACTTCACACCCCGTATCAAATACATCACGGACAAAGAGAAAAAGATGGACAATGCCCTTAGTATTGCTAGGAGCACACGGGACCTTGGCCCTAACGCTACTAAGCTTATTTACAGAGGAGC